GAGGGGGAGGAGGAGGGGGAAGGAAGAAGACAACGATGACAGAAAACACGACGTCAGCATTCTCACACAGGCAGAGCTGGTAAAACAGAGACACGTGTTTCTCAGTAACCCTCAATCAAGACTCCCCCATTCAAGATAGCACCTGGATGAGATAGTTTGGATCCCTCTCATTTTTTCTCTTCCAACACATCCTTCTGTGGAGGACTGCTTGAAAACCACTGATCAAAGTCAACCTATGTCCTGTCACTCTTTCTCCAGCCTCCATTTTCTCCTCTTCCACTACACTTCTAAACTTTCAAAATCACATTGGGTTTGGCTAGTTGATGTGAGATGGCTGTGTGAGAAAGTGGTGCACACACAGACTACTAAGAAACTTAAAAAAGGCGACCGAGGAAGCAGTTGTGTACGTTACATTGATTTAGTGACTTAAAAGTACCCACAGAACATCTGTGCTTGGCTAAATTAGAACAATGCAATACTTTCCTTTTCATTTCAACTGAAACTTTAGAAGAGTTATATTAAACATGATTATGTGTACAAAAGAGTCCTCAACCAAAAGATGAGAATGCACTTCCCCCAAGTCTTCAAGGTGTGTGCCCAAAGCTCTAATTCTGTGGCTGCCCAAACTTGGAACTATCTGTGAGCCAGTGAACATAAGAGTATAATAATTCTATGATGGACATATTTGAATTTAAGAGTTAAAGAGCGATACCTCATAAGAGCACTGCTACTGGAACACTAGAAACACCAAACTACACTTGGGGTAAGCAGCAAAAAATGCAGGAAGAGAGTGGGGGGTTGACTTCAAATAGAGACTTTATAATCCCTCAAAGAAAGGACCATTATTAAGTCATAAAACTACTTAAAATAATTAAGTTATTAATGGACTAACTGAAAGGTTATAATGTGTAAACTATGGCATTACGTAGAAAGTCAAGAAAACTATAATTCTCTAAATTACTAGCAGTAATTATTTTCTGATTTTATTGCCATTAATTACAATCATTTAAATAGAACATTATATAAATTAGTCATCGCACAAACCTCATTCTTTGAGAAAGCAAAGGCAATAACTTGCAAATTAAGAAATAAGTGATTTGGGAGAGTATACAATTATTTGTTATTTGTAACTCTTTCAAGGTAATTTGACATTCTTGGATACCCTGTAGAGTAATTCTGTGAGTAAGGTGGATGATTACCAACTTATTATATCGTTACTTGCTTGAAAATATGAAAGCAAACTGATTTGCATAAAGCCACAGAATCTATGCCAGAGCAGAAGAAAAATGATATTAGTTATGCAGAATATAAAATTTTTTTCTTTTAGCATAGGATGGAGATATTTAACAATAAAAATAGTAATATTATTTCAGGAATTTTTCATTATTATAGTAAAGTTGATATTGCCACAGCTTTTTTTTTTCTAAAAATTATGATTTGGCCCTTTTTTTTATGAACCCAGGGACTCATATATGCTAGGCAAGAACTCTCACACTCTAAGCTACATTCTCTGCCTTTTAAAAAATTTTATTTTGATAAAAAGGTGTCCTTATCAATGCCCAGGCTGGCTCTGAACTTGTACTTTTCTGGCCTCAGCCTCCCTCTGGAGTAGCTGGGATTACAGGTACGCACTACCACGCCCAGCTCTGACCTACAAGGGCTTTTGCTGAGGAATCAGGTCATTATTTGCTGGAAAGAAAGGAGGAAGGACAGAGAGAAGGTCATAAAGAATTTGGAAACATCGTGATTTTAAATTTCAAAATTTACCTGCTATCAAAAGGGAAAGAAAGCATTTCCCCTTGGATTGTAAAAAGCCAAAGTAAATCTATCACAGCTTTAAGTCAAAGCAGTTAAATGTATCGAACCAAAATCCATAAAGCAATATTGTACCTAACACTTTTAGCATATACTTGCTGAATGAAAAATAAATTTTAGAAGTCAATGGCTTTGAAATAACCTTGGCTGATTGACAATTTTCATTAACAAGGAGCAATTATTTTGGTCCCCCAAAACAGTTTCTGCAAACTGATACTTTTATTAAATCTTAATTTATTTATGGAATTTTATCTTAAAGTTGGTTCTCATTACTACCAAGAGGAAGACAAAGGAAAAAATACTTAAATAAAAGTTAAAATGATTAGTTATTATCTTTAATTAGATTTAATTCTACATTTGTACTTCTTAGTTTGCAAAAGATTAAGCAAAACCTACCTCCTGCTTTAAAGGACATCCAATTATCCTGGATTAGGTATTATGTTTGGTATAATGAATAAGGAAAAATTTTGAATAGCCAATT